TATAAGATTGTGTATCAACTATACTTCAGTGAAAAAAAAGAGCTTTTATCAAGTCATAGAAAGACATGGTGGGAACTTAAATGCATTTTACTAAGTGACAGAAGCTGAAAAGACTATAATTCCAACTATGTGGCATTCTGGAAAAGTAAAACTATGGAAATAGCAAAAAGATCAATTGTTGCCAGAGGTTAGGAGGTGGGAGTTGGATAGGGAATCGGTGAGCATAGATGATGTTTAGGGCAAAGAAAGATACTCTGTATGATACCATGGTGATGGAAACATGTCATTATATATTTGTCTAAACCCAAAAAATGTACAATGCCAAGAGTGAAGCATAATGTATGCTACGGACTCTGGGTGATAATGACATGTCGATGTAGGTTCATCAGTCGTAACAAATGTACAGCTCTGACAGGGAATGTTGTAAGTGGGGGAGGCTCTGTGTGTGGAGGGCAGGGGAGTAAAGGTATCTTCCCCTCAATTTTGCTGTTAACTTAAAACTGTCCTAAAAACATAGTCCTACAAAAAACACGGCAGTTTTTTATAAGCATATCCCTCCAGTCATTGTATATATGTATTAAATACTTTTAATCAGTGTAACTAGTTTAGCATAAACTTTTCTATGTTTTATATTGTTTCTTTAATTATTATTTTATGGCTTCATGAATTAATCTAGGATGTCCATTCATACTGCAGTTATTTATTGAACATTTACTATATATTATTCAGGATCATGGGAATGCACTCCTAAGCCAAAGTGCCCATATTTGCAGAGTGTACAACATTCTCATGTGTGCATAGTTGATATATAATCATTTATTTGATTTTTATTATGCTGTCTAACTCTTTGCAAAAAAAACCTTTACAGAAAAGAAGTAATGCCATAGACCCTGAAAGTATTTTTATTTAGATGTTCTATAAATTGACTTAGGAAAAGAAGATAGGAAAAATAAAGATAGGTGTGTGTGTGTGTGTGTGTGTGTACACACACACACAGATATAAGTATATATATATGTGTATATCTATATGTATGTATATATTATATATATAAAACCTTGTGATCTAAACCAAAAAAGTACATAGCTGATTCATCAGGATGAAGTTCTGAAATACAATCAGATTGAACCTGTGTTTTCCATAATAAATTAATATCCTCTATATTTCTTCTGACATATAATATAAAGATATTAAGAGTCTCATATAGAATATTGTATTACTAGAAGATATTTCTTACCCTATCTGAAAAATAGCCTCTTAACCTCAAACTTATGTTAGTGCCCAAGCTTGTAAAATATGTTTTTGAAAATTATATAAAGCCATAAAATGTCTTTATATTAAGGAATATTACTGCTTTATGAAAACAGTCTTTTAATTATTCATTTAAATAATAAGTTACCTCATTAGTACCCCAGTTTTCTCCTTTTCATTGTTTGCTTTACAATGTCATCAGTATTATTGGAACCTCTGTGCAGGGAGAGAGCGGTTCAGTCAGCTTGCCCTCCTGCTGTTGTTGGTGTCAAGTTTGCAAAAAGGTGCCTCTGGCAGTTTTCTGGATCCACAACAGAGCAAGGTTTATTCCTTCCATACTAAAATACAAATCTTACTTTTTTAGATTTTTAAAATTTATAAATAGCGCTACTTTAATTTTTTGGTCATAACTTTTTTTAACTTTATAATAAATTCCAGAAGCAGCATTAAAGTTTCAAAAGTATGAACACTTTAGTGACCCTTGATATGGACCACTAAATGTTTCTCCAATATATTTCCAGCAGCCTGTATGAAGGTAGTTTGGTTTTATGTTGCTGTACTCTAACTTATAAGTAACTTTCATGTCTGTGTGGCTTTTCTCACTATAGGATCTCTAAGTTGGTAGTGGAAGGCTTAATCAGAGCAGTCAGCAGTCATGACTATTCATTTTCATATCTACTGTATCCTTTGTCCACTTTGCTAAATTCCATTTACTTTCTTTAACTGTTTCAGTCTGTGATCATAAAACCCACTTTTTTCTCAGCTTCAGCTCATTTAACATTTCTTTATTAGGTGGGAAAACCCTGTTACAGTAGCACATACTCAATTTTGCTCTCTATTTCCTTTATATTTATTCATTCAATGATTTATTCAAAATCAAATGCCAAACCTGATGCCAGAACTCTGCAGGTATCAGGATTTAGTGTCAGAAAAGCAGCCATATATCTAAATCTGAACTTCTTTGAGAACTTTATGTGCAACTACCTTTAGTACCTTCTTCTCCTCAGTGTCAATACTGGTACCAGTGATACAGTTAGAATTACATTTCAGAGAGGGTCCTAAAACTCTTGAGTATTTACATTATTGGAATTGTCACACAATTGCACCCCTCTCTAAAAAACATTTCCCTTGAAATCGATCTTTCTAGTTTAGGTGAAGACCCTAACTATAGCTAGCCTTTGTTTTCTTACCTGACATAGTTCTAGATAAAATAGTTGCTGTCCCCCCGATGTTGTCAGCTCATCCTGTTCCCACACCTCTCCATCTTCAGATCCCTCAGAACTCAGACTTTGCACTTTGGATTAGCAATAGTTTAGTATCTTTTTCTGCCCTGTGGAAGGAGATTAGCAGACGGGCTATTAGTTCACCTGAGATGGGAAGAGGAGGAATACAGAGGCTTGAGAATATTCCAAGTTTTGGGAATATTTTATCTCTTCCTTTTATTTAAGTGATTTAGAATCATCAGGGTAGAATTGGTATTTACTTTAAGACTGCTGTGGAAGGATTTAACATAGAACTTCTATGTGAGCTCCAATGGGGCATTCATCATCTGCTGGTTTAACAAATATTTTTTGAGCTCTGCTGTGCTTCAGTCACTGCAGTAGGCACTGCCTCTGCCTCACTGGCCAACCGGAAGTATAGCTGAGTTGTTCCGTTACTACCAAGTATCTCTTAGTTATCAAATCTGAGCACAACCTGATTTCTACTACTTAATAAGTTATTATATTCATTTTATCACAATGCATACTTTGTCATGGCTGGGGAAATAGAAAAAGCTAGCTAAATGATGTTAGCTATTTCAAGTTATTTAAAATAATATGTACTGTTATTAATAATTTAGCACAGCCCTTAGTTCACTAACAGCATTTACAAGTACTGACCATTGTTATTTTATATTATCAAATTGTTGTATGTTGATCATTTGACAGCAGTAAAAATTAAATGTAATAATATTAAAACTATATCAATATTCATTTTCACCCAAAAACTGATGGAAATATTTTTTACTTTTAGTGTATTTCCTCACATTTTAATATTCAGTGCTATAAAGTATACTTTAAGATTGTTTTTAGTCCATAGACTCTGGACAAGAAAAGTACATCAAGTCTGAAACCTGCCTTTGGTGAGAAGTACATCCAGATTAAATTCTGATTAATATCTCCTCTATTCACGAACTTGAAAAAGTATTCCATTATGTCACTTCTGAAAGATGTTTGAAAGCCTTGTATCTGGAAAGAGTTCTTTCTAATCCTGAGAACTATTCTTTTCTCAGGATTAGATGAAAATGAAATTCACTGATTCTTCACAATTCTTACAATCCAGGTTTCCATATTTGAAAATATTCCAAGTGCTTCATGTTCCTTTTAAGTCATAAAAAAAAAAGACTAAACCTCCCTTTTGTTAGATTGGGGACAAGGCTGTTGTATTGCTTTGCCAGTGACAACAGTTACAGAATTTTAAAACTAATGGCATTTGTTGCATTACTGGTACATTTAAGGAAAAACAGGGAGTCCACTTGGACTGAATTATGAGATGCACATTTTCTTCCCAGATAGGATAGAAATCAAGAAGGAAGGGAAGGGAAAAAATTATGTGAGCTAGAATGTAATGATAAGAAAGAAAACTGTACAACAATCAAGTCATTATCTTTAACATTTTAGAATATGTAGGAAGAAAATGAGCAGATGACTTTTGACTTGACATTAAAAAAAGTTAACCTGGATCTGAAAGAGAAACTGTATATCAAATAGGAAATGGAGTAATGACTTATCATAAGCATTATATAAAGTCCTAATATGGCCAATACTTTTATTCAATTGGTCAATGGACACAGAAACCAAATGACAGAATGGTGAAAAAGAGTGAAGAATATCAGTTGCTGGACAGCAGAAATGCCTCTTACTCATCACTATTTCCCAGTCTCTGACATCAAATGAATGCTCAATATACTTCTGAGAGGCCAGCAAGAGGGGCATGGACAGACCTTGAGCTCCTAGCAGATGTGCCCAGGCAGGTACCTCTATGCTGTGAAAATACTGCCCCTGTTTCCATACACATGAATCCACCCACCTATCCTTTTCTTTTTCCTTCCCCTTTATCCAATGACGTTCTTCCTTATCCTAGTTGTTAACAAAATAGCCCCAAATATTTCTAATAATTTTGCCCTGCAGACCACAATAGGTACAACTTCCTTTCCATTAATTTCGCCTGGCCATAGCGATTCTACCCACTATAATAAAAACCCTCCTTTCGTTGTATCTGTTTTACTACCTCTTGTTTTTATTTTTGCTCTCTCTGAGATGAAAATTATCAGTACTACTAATTCTAAATATATGAAGTGAGGTGTGCTTTAGTATAATATTTTCATATGTAGATTACAAATGTGTAGATTACAAATATATCTTATACATGACGAGTGATATCTATATATAGATGAATTACATATATAGATGAATTACATGAGTGTGTATATTTTTGTTTTATTAAATCTTCTCATACAATTAAAAATAATCAAAATTATTTCCAGAAAAATCATTTTATGAAATTTATATAAGATTTTATGTATTAAAATGATCATTTTATAGCAATTTTATGTCCAAGGCAAAGGTAAAATGAATACTTTTTAGTTTAGAGGAGTGTATTCTTCTCAATTTAATAAAAGTATAACAAAATCTTCTTTGTGAGCTACTATATATATACATATATATATGCATATGTATATACATTTCTCTCTTTTCTTAATACTTTTAAGGGTCACATGATAGCATCCTGTGATGCTTGTGGAGTAACAAAACTGTGGGACTTTCGGAAGCTCTTACCAATTGTGTCCATTGATGTAGGTCCAAGTCCTGGCAATGAGGTGAACTTTGATCCATCAGGTACAATCTTTTTTATTCAACATTTGTCACCAAGCTAACAGCTTTAATATTTGCTCTGAAACTATTTTCCATTTCCACTTTAGTTGGTTTATGTATCCTCCTCTGTAAATTTCTGTTCTTAATGTTATATTTGCTATATTTTATCAGATATCACGTCATATCATGAAGCTTTCTTTAGGTCATATATAAGAGAAAAATATAATAGAGGACATAAGTGTGTGCTAATATAGATAACACAAGTTCCTAGCCATGCCAAAATTTGGAGTCTACATCCCTTAGAATCACCATCCAAGGTAAGTTTATTGCATTTTTCGAAGGCAAATTGGCTGAGAGTAGAGAACAAAAATTTAGCAAAACTGAAATGGAAACATTTTTAATGGAATGTTTTAGTCTTACAATAATTTATTAAAGTACCCATATTCTGTAGGTTTTACAATTAGTTTGAAATACCTATTTATCTTTTTTTGCAATTCTGTGCAATAGTAATTATTATAATTGATAATTGTAACTTTATTGTGTTTAGCATTTTTTCTGAATTAGCATAAACATTGATTAGGTAAAATATTTTATCCTTAATGATGATGAATAGTCTTACAACTGGGTTAACAACCATGCAATGATTCCAATTGGCTATTTAAAAAATTAAATTACACTTACATCTGTATTCTTAATAGTAGCCTATGCTAAGTAATGTATGTATGTTACTATATAATATAACTTCCCTTTGCTAATATGATACATGTTTTAAACTTTTTAAAATTTTCAGAGTTTTTAGAATTTTTGATACATATTTGTGGTAAATCAAAGTTGCAGAGATGATAATTTTTGATAAAGAAATAAAGGTAGTATATATAGAGAGAATAAATTATATTTTATTTAAAAATAGTCCATAGAATTCTATAGTCCAGAAACTATGAATATACTAGAAGCAATTCTACCGTCATAAGTGTGTGTTTCCGGTGATGGGCTTCGTGATATTGCCATCATTAGAATATAAGAATATAAATATAGAATATAAGATGTTTGTCTTAACAAACTTTTGTGTTACCATTGATAGATTGATAGATGAATCATGCTAATAACAAAGACTCCTTTAAACATGCTTTTAGTTATGTTCTTGACATTGAGACATTTATGGTATGCCAGAATTCTATAAGAAAACCTGTACAGAATAAAAAATCCCATGGGAATATCATTTTATAATGTGAAGGCCTATTAATACTTCGATTTATACTTTCTAATATATAGAATTTGCACTGACATCATAGTTTTAAAGGAGCTTTAACTTGATCTTCATAAACATCTTTACATTGTTAAGTCCTTTTTTTTTTTAGTCTTGAGTTAGCATCCAAATGTTCTTGTCCTTCGATTTTAAACTCTGAAATTTCAAAACATTTGGCTTTAATTTCTAATAATAGAAACTAAAGGGTGTTTTGAAATATGGTACAACTGATAACAGACATATATACTATTGCCATTATTAAATATGTTTCCTCTTTTAACTGTCCTTGTCATCAAGCCCAAAAGTTATCTTCTATGCATTAAATGTCAGTACCTATCTTACTTATATGCAAGTCAGTATCATATTAAACTCCTTCATACAACAGACCTATTTTTTTCTCTCTTTGACTGCTATATTGTTGATAATACATTAATATTAAGAAAAGCATGCGAATCAAGGGAAGAACATTGAGAGACAAAAAAGACAAAGAGTGGAAGCGAGGGATCCTGTTAATGACAACACTCCATGAGTTTGAGGGAATATAATTTCAACCTGACCTTCCCATCCTTTTGACCATTTCTTCAAGGAGCAAACTATAATTAATTTTATTTCTGTGTTGCTTGGGACATTAATTTCATGAGCCTTTTTCTCATTGAATAATGAGAAATTTGTGTTTGTGTAGAGAAGTCTTCAGTGACTATTTAAAAAGATTGAAATATATGAAAAGTTGAAGAAACTAGGAAGAGCAAACACAGGCCTAAGGAGATGCTGAACAGAGAAGGAAGTCACAAAGTAAATTATGAGAATTATATTCATCTCAAGAGTGTAAAGAAGAAAAGTGAAGTCAAGAGCAAAACAAAATCAAAATAAGGACAAGGGACATATAAATCTTTTCTAATCTGCATTTGTTCAGGAAAAGATTATTTTTTAAAAATATAACAAACTTATGAAAATTATGGACTATGAGGAAAAAATCAAATCTAGTTTAATAAGCTCAAAATACATATTAATTTGACATATTTTTATTTATTCCCAGGGACAAGCCAATACAAGCATTATATCATATAATAATTTTCCAAAAAAGCAAGAATATATTGATACTATTAACAATAATTAAACATTTATTGAAGGTGTTATGCCAAATCATTTTTCTAAGTCAAAATTCTGTCATACAATTAAATTATGCAGTTCTATACACCTAGGACATTATTTGTCACAACTTAACTATTATAAGACAGCTCTTGTCTGCTGTCTCAACTGTGCACTTGGACTGGAGAAACAGCACTGAAAACATACATGTGGTGTCATAATAATATCATATAATACATGTGGAAGTATTGACAGCATTGTCTGAGATAATATAAGGAATGTGAGTAGTTATATATTTTCAATAATTCTATGGAAACAAACTTTCTAATCATATTTCATGTCTCTGGATCAGTTTAATTGAAGGGTATCTTGAGATTATGAGGTGCAGAGTTTAAAAATAACTCTTTCCCTGTTCAATATTATTTAATATAATCATAATACAATTTATAAATAAGGCATCTATTGTCACTGCAAACCCAACACAGTATAGAAACAAACTGGAGTAGAGGTCATTAAAACACTGAAATTGTTGTCCATAATATTTGATTTCAAATTTGATATATCAAAATTGCCTTATTATTTATTACCCTCATATTTGAGTTTATAAAAGTTAATGTATATTAGTGAAACAGTACTTTATCTGTTTTAAAATTAATACTCCTCATAGTATATAATTTTAAAAATATATCCTTGATAAAAATATTTGAAGACCAGTGATGTTAAAAACAAGAGTATAGATTATAATTCAGACCCTTAGGTGTTCCCCACCTGTTAGACTTCAGGCAAATTATTTAATCCCCCTGAACCAAGTTTCCTCATAGAAATATTGGAAGAGATAATTACCCTACAGTGTTCTAATATTTCAAAGGGATTATATATATCCTATAATAAGGAAAATGCTAGCACAGTCATCTGCCCTGTTTTCTTCTAGATGGAAGAAGTCTTAGAAGTTCTCTCATATGTTTTGGGGATGAGAAAAGTGTGTGAACATAATAGTGTGCAAGTAAGATTCCCATGGCTGTGTTAGTGTGGGAGGTTTCTAGTAGAAGTATAAATACCAGTGAATAAATATTAAAAGAAACAAGGGTCAAAACCTCATTTTCATGTAATATTAAAAATAACTTGAATGGCTAAGAAGTAAGGTTGTATACAGTATTACACATACATATGTAATTAAAAGATTTAAAGATGTACGAATCACCATCTAGAGTTCAGCTTGTCTTTTGCTGTAAGAAATCAACCTCTCGTACATTTAAAAAAAGAGTTGCTTATGGGATAGCATTATTTACATGTTTTATTTGCAAGTACATTGCTTGTGACAAACACAGATTATCTGTGTTTATAGATTTATACATATATTAGTATATTTTATAACTTGTGCATTTGTAAAGGGATAAGTGTTCCTTTCTCATTAAACAGAGAGCCTCCTGGCAACATAATGCTGTACATTTTTGTTAATATTCGCTGTTTAAATAATACCTCTCACTTGGCATATTCAAATGCCATGTATTTTACCATTAAAGAATTTATTGCTATTTCAGAAAATGTTAAATGGAGTTGTGTTGTGAAAGTAATAAAAATAAACTGTGAGAGTTTATACATATACTTTTTCACATCTCTCATTTCATCATGTTTATGTAATTTAGCAATATTTTACCCTCCTATGTAAAAAAGTGATTCCAGTATATTTGCAAAAACATCTCATCCCTTGAAAATGCAGGAGCTGAAATTTGAGCCAGATGGGAACTTTCCAGTAGAAAATTTATCAGTATCAGATCATCAAAATGGGCAAGGTTTCTCACCATTTGGAGATAATCCTAAATATCTCCACAAGCAGAACCACAAAATGAATGCTAAAATTGAGAAAAATCAAACCCGTTGGAAAATATGGAAAATATCAGATCCTCTAAAAGTTTTTAAAATATAATAAGATACCTCCCAAATTTATTATTCAAATTGGACTTACCAGTTTGTATTAGTAAAGGCTACAGTTCTTTGGTATGTAGAAGGTAGACTGTGGTTAGTTCCCTCTGATAGAAGCAGTGTACCATAAGGGAGAAAGCTCTCATTTAGAAGTTAGAAGACGTGGTTTTGAATTTTGTCTCCTCTACTTAATAGCTTGGTGAAATTTCTAAAACATTTCTGAGCCTCAGTTTCCTTGTAGGTGAAATATTAAAACCTTCCAGGACTTCCAATTCTATCCAAGGTGGAGTAACAGGGACCATATTTACCCTGCCATCTGAAACAACGTAAAAAAAAAAAAACCAGACAAATACATGAAACAGTAGTTTTCAGACATTGAATATTGGGCAGTGAAAGACAGTGATACCTGAAGGAAGGGAAATAAAATAGAGGAGCCCTCTAACAGCCCCAGAATACTGCTTGAAGGAAGTTTCTAGGTCAATTCAAAAATGGATGGAAACCCGGGGAAACCTGGCAGTCTCCCAGCGTTGCTGAGGAGACAGAGTGGGTCCAGAGAGTTTGCAGGGCAGAGTACCAAACAGAAGAGAGGAGCACAAAGAGAGAATTCTGCAGATCTGCGTATCTCCCCAAGTCTTGCCTTGAATAAAGATGAGTACCTTACAGCCTAAAGCCACGGAAAAATCTGTGGGAACAGTTAAAAGGAAAAACACCCATAGCTCACTCAAGCCTGGGAATACTTTGTGTTCTCACCAACTAGATTAGAAAATCCTTGCAATTTAAAAGGACAGTAGTAGAGCAGGTATTGGCAAACTTCTGCCCTTGGACTGGAAAAATGATTCATGTACTATGAATATTGAAATAATCCCATTAATGCCCATTTGGCAGTGTTTGACTCAAAGCTGACTAAGACACAGGATCCTCTCACTAGTTGTCAAGTTGTTGTCTCTGGAAGAAAAAAAAGGAAAAGAGGATCTCCCTAAAATTATCTACCAGGTTTTTGATGTGTTGTATTCACAAGGGGGCATCCTAAGTACCTGTACATTCCTAATGGGAGCTCAAACTCCAATCCCATACCTCAGTATAAATTGCTAACAGAGTAATCAGGGCTAGGTTGTGTGAGCACCTGCAGGGCCCCTCTCTCTGCCATTTATTTAAGACCTAGCCTGATTAGAAACTGAAAAAAGAATGTAAGAAAGCAAGCTGACTTCTTTTGTCTCTAAGGCATAATGCAGAGCCAAGTTGCTCCTCCTAAAAGCAAGCCCGTTCTACCACATCAGTTTCCTGGGAATGAAGCCACGAAGACAGAAGATAAAATTTGAGAGAGAAAAGGTGGCCAGATGACTCTGCTTAATTATTTATGATCCCATTATTCCTTCCCCTGTTTGAGTGGCTCTGTTGTGTATGCAAATCCATTTTGTTCTGAGAAGAATATGGTCGTCTCTGGTCGTCTCTGGTCGGAACTGGGGGGAACGAAGGAAATCAGATTACGTACCCTCTTAGAGATCCACGTCTCCAGTTAACGCCTGGAACAAAGTACAGTGTGGCTGGGGAGCTGGGCAAGGTGCTTCCTCTGTAAGCATCACAACATTATGAGTTTGGTTGCATTTCTCCCATTTTGGGGTTTTGAGACCTTTGATTACATATGCATATTCGTAATTAGACATATTCATACAGTTCTATGAAAGCCTGAACTACATTTCACTTAATCTTTAGCTCTACGAAATTACAAAGAAAAAAACTTAGAGACTCATGGGAACTGGTTATACTGTCTTTGAAAAAAATAAATATATATTTTTCTTTGGTTTTGTCATGCTCTCCTGTGTTAAAAACAGTTTTATTTACCTGACAGCAAGTGTGGAAGTTAACATGCTAATAATAGTAGAGGCACCTTGAAAACTTTGACTAAAGGTAAATTGACCAAATATCTATTTATTCAGAGATAGTATGCATAATTGTACAAAGTGTTGTGGTCATGAACCTGTTCTGGTTGATGTCCATTCTGTTTGGTTTGTGGTGATGCTCTATCACTTGTTAAGTATTTAGACTATCATCCCAAAAATGGATCAAAATTCTCAGAACTGAAATGCATTTGAATTACAGAAATTGTAACATTAATATGCATGAAATTTACTGCCTTTTTCAAAATGTATTAGAATATATATATATATGTAACACAGTCTTGTTCCTTGCAGATACTATGTTTGTAAGGTTGTATACTTAATCTAATGATAGCATCATTGCACAAACTATGAAACCTCTCTTTTTGAACTGTCCTCACAGTTTTATCCCAAATACTGACAAATATCTTATTTGAGTCTGGATTGAATTTGTAAAAATATCTAGAAATTGTTGACATCTCATGAATCAGAAAAGGACATTTGAGTCAAGCACATGACAAGCTCTAAAGAGTAAGATTGTTGTTCATCTACGGTTTGTAACTGAAATTGGGCAGAACACTTACTCTCTGTTGACCTCGATTTTATCATTTCTAAAATGAGAGGTCTAGATTAAAAGACTTCCTCAATGAGGGTTACAACCTAAGTTTTACACTGCATTTCCCTGTGTTCATTTTAGGACATGATATCCTGAGACAAAAATAATTTTTTTAAATAAAAATTAAATGTATTTTATACTATTTAAAACTTGGAAATAAAAATTCAAAATGTAAGTAAAACATTTCACTTTCCCTTAATCCAACAGGGAAATACAATATAAAAATCAAGATTATTTAAAAATTGAGCTTCAGATATAAATGACAGCTGTGTTGCTCAGCAATACAAAATGTATTCTTGCATATCTAGCAACATATTCAATCTCTATGGCAATAGGAATTTTGGCAAAAAAGAGCATAAGTTCCAATATTAATAAATTAATGACTCAATCAAACTCTTCTTATAGGACTATATATAATAGTAAGAATCTAACCCATTCTGGTTAAATCAGGGGAGGAAATAACTAATCATAAAATTACAGAATTATGCAGGTGCAATCAACAATTGCAATTCCCTGGATGACACAAAGAGGGCATGGTTTATGTTGTTAATTCCTCAACTTTGTGTAGTATTTTTAAGACACTGAGAATTATAATTGTTGCTTAAAAGCCTCTCTGTAGTTGTACTACATAGAGGTATAATTGTAACATTATAGGCATACTCAAAAAGTGCTTGGAAATGTTTTTCCGTGTAAATAAAGTCTTCCTGGAAGTTCATTACAAAGATTATATGCATAATTATTATAAACTATTAAAATTCAGCACATGTCCAAGTAATGACAAATTTTAAATTAGTGTCATCATATTTAATATGATGTATTTTGAAGTGTTAATGTAAGAAACATTTTTTCAGATGCATTATAGTAGCTATATGCACATAACAATTAACGTGCTAATGCTAAATTTTTCGTTAATACATTTAAGAAATTCAAGATTTGTCTCTGTGTAGCAAGTATGAGAATTTAATTGCATGACTAGCTATATCTTAGTATCATCTAGGCCATAAAATATCCCAAAGCATATAATTAGCTATTCCTGTTTGCAGATGTAATACAAATTACATGTACATGCTAGCACAGGTCATTTTGAAATATAACATTTGAAAATGACATTTTTACATATATATTAATCAAGAAATATGTACTTGTATAAAGATTCAGACCTTTGAGTTTTTCTAGAGGGCACACAGTTATCATATTAAAAGGAATGTATTATTTTAATCTTAATTGTCTGTAATAGTTATTAGATTTAAGATTAATACAGTTAAAATTTGCAGTCCATGCATACTTTATGGCCCATAGTCAAGTAACCCAAGAATTTGTCTTTTTAATAGACTGTGTATACAAAATTGAATAGATAATCATCTTTAATCAGCAAAGCTGATACTTTTTAATAGGATAATCCTTTATGAGAAGTTGCAGTTCAGCAGATGTGCAAATCAACCCAGAACAAATAGTATGCAACTCTTGGAGATGGAGACTGCACAGTTGGCACTTGTGATAACTCACAGTTACATTTATCTAAAATTGAATTTCATACAATATTCAAATATGATTTACTCAAATCTGATTGAGCTCAAAAGTATCTTTTCTCATTTGTAATATAAGAAGAGTATAAATAAAAATTGTTTAAAATCATCTTCATGCAATATCGCTCTCTAAGCACTTTACCACCTAAGAAAAAAAATGGAAAAGAATAGTAGTATTAAGAAATACTGGTATTAAGTAAATTAACACTGTAAATGTTTTGAAATAATGAGTTGGTAAATACCAATGAATAATAGATATTCATTTTAAGCCATGTCTTCTATCCAAGACTCCTCATTCTCTCTCATATTTTTGTTGGTCTAACAATGGAAATTTTGTTAATTCAGTTGACAAATATTTAGTGTAAGCCTATTATCTGTCAGACACTGTTTTAAATTCTGGGATTCAGTAATGAAGAGATAGGGAAGATTTGAATTACAAACTAAACTGAAATACATAGACATGAATTGCAGATAATAACTGGGAGTGCTGAAAAATATGTTAAACTACTCTGCATATAATATGCTTCATGTCCCATCAGAGTGTTATTTGGATGGAGTATCTTGTAGCTATACATGGAGCTAGAGAAAAAAGACAGGCACCCCTGTAATATTATATCATTAACAATTTCTGTTCTCATGGATTTGGATCATTTAAAGTAATGCTCCTACTTTCTTCTGTAACCCTTGCACTATACTTTCCGTTATGTTTGATCTGCCCCTTTATCCATGTGCTGCATCTGGACCCTTTACTCTTATCAGAATCCAGCTGTGACGATGGAGCTTCTGTTGTCAGTGTTTCTCTTTCTCCTTCATCTACTTTCCTTTTCCTTCTCCTCATCTTACCCAATCCTCTCTTTTTCTTCTTCCTCATTTACAAAGAGCTAAGTTAATCAGGCTCCTCAATGTATAACAGACAACAATCCTCAGATTTTATTATTTTTCTTCTTTCATGTCTCATCTCTACTCTCATTCCCTTGAACCCTCCATAGAAGTCTTTAAATGTCTTTGATATGTTTCCTTAAATTTACAGGTATTTCTAAAGAATAGAATTATTTTCTATGTATGTGTCTAAGACTTGTAAAAACTTAATTTTGTTATAATTCCATTCAATTTCTTGCTTTTTCATTATGTACTATGTTCTAGAGTTTTCTCCATACTAATATATGTCTGTCAGTTCCATCATTTGTGTCTTCTGAATAGTGTTCTATTTTATTAATTTTATCCTTTTATTCAGTTGTACTGGTGATGAACGTCCAAATTCCCTATGAGCCCTTGGTACTTGAAGGCATGCTGTGTTGAACATCCTCATATATATCCCTGTAAGGGGCTTCTGGGAGAGCTCCTCAGTGACCTGCTATGCTGCACAGTGTACATTATTTAATTTCACCAACCACTGTTACATTGCTCTTCAGAGGCTATATAACAATTTACAGTCCTTCAAGAAATGTCATTATCAACATTAGTTAGTTGTATATGGACTCCGTTGTGCTCCCCCAAAATTCAGTGTTGTGTTGAAGCCCCCTTCAGTGTTGTGAAGTCATCCCCAATGTGACTGCATTTGAAGATAGGGATTTTAGGAAATAATTAAGGTTAAATGAAGTCATTAGAGTGAGATTCTGAAGAACAGGATTGGTGGTCTTATAAGAAGAGGCTGTGCACAGACAAGGAAAGGCTGTGTAATCACAGCAAGGAAACCACAGTCTGCAAAGCCAGGGAGAGAGCCTTCGCTGAAACTTCACCGTGCTGGCATCCTCATCTCAGATTTCCAGCTTCCAGAACTGCAAGAAAATTAATTTCTGTTGTTTAAGCCACCCAGTCCATGGTATTTTGTTTTGGTGGCACAGGAAGACTAATACAGCAGGTAGAATTTGATTTCCTAATTCTTCCAGTAGTCGGTTATACATGGCATATCCCTAATCATTAGTGATATTGAACATCTTTTCATATACTTTTCAGACTTTCAGGCTTCCTCATCATCTATGAATTAAATGTCTTTACCCATTTTTTCTGTTGGGTTTCCTTTCTTTGGGAACTTAATGATTTGTAGTTAATTATCTGTGTATTAATTTCTTGTTGGCTTTAAACTTTATAGATTTCTCTGAAAGAATTACCTGTTTATTGATCTCATCTATGGTATCTTATATTGAATTGAAATCTTTAAATTTCACAGAATCAAAATTATTGTCTTTTTTCTTAGTTATTTTGGAGAAGGAGATGCTTAAAGATTACTATCCCCACTGTCAGGTTAAGGAAGTATTCTCCTGCATCTTCCTGTTTAGCTTTATGTTGTTACCTTTTACATGTTAGGTCATTGATTCAAGGTACAAAGAGGTGTTATCATCAGTTTTTTCCTGCAATCACAAAAAAACCCAGGATCTTCCTGGTCTTATAGGAGCATTGGCTTCTTGTTCCCTTCTGGAGAGCTTCAGGTCAGCTCAAGC